TATTATGGAGTAAAATCACAAGCTTAGGGAGATGTTTGTATCTAAAGAATGGGTTCAATGCAAATGGGGCAATTACAAGTGCTGGGACGATGGTGGCCAATCTAGTTTTAGCACCATCCTTTTGGAATGGGGTTACTCGCATCCTCGTGGGTTTTGAACCTCTAGTTAAGGTTTTGCACCTTGTTGATAGTGAGAAGGAGCCAGCTATGGGTCATATATACCAGGCATGGGAGGTTGCAAAGGAAGAGATTAAGAAAAAAATTTATTACAATGAAAATACATACTCTCCAATTTTGAAGATGGTTGAAGATAAAAGGGACAGCCAGTTACAGAGGCCCCTTCACCTAGCAAGGTATTATCTAAACTATACTTATTTCTATGAAAACCCTAATATTGATATCCAGGGATGCTTTAGGGAATCAACATGCTTTAGGGAATCAACAAGTGTTTAATGAAACTCATCCCTAGTATAGAAGAACAAGAACAAGTGTCAAGAGATTTAGATAAGTATAGATTATCACTTGGGACACTCTGTACTGAATTAGAAGTAAGGCAGAGAACGACACTCTTCCCTGGTAAGTTTCAATTTTGTCTTTTCATGGTGAATTTGTTTTTTGATGAAGCTTCATGGTACTCAAATAACAAATTCACCAGTTTTCATGGTGAATTTGTTATTTGAGTACTTCGTTAGTTTGTTCTAGCGGTCTAGGTAGAACTACCAAATTTATAATACATATTTATATAGATTTCTACTCTATTTATTTTTTAAGGTTCATGGTGGACCAATCATGGCCAAAGCGCTTAGCACTTACAGAGGCCATGTGCATTTTGAGCTTGACAAGCACCTCATCTGGTTGCACACACAACTTTAGTTCTTCTGAGATGGTAATCCCTTTCTCCACTAAATTAATATATTTAATATTTTCAAAATATTTCATAATTTCATTAACCATTGATTTATTACATTGCACTTAATAGATACACAGAGAAACAGGCTTGAACAAACAAGACTGAACGACCTTGTCTTCGTTCAATATAATCAAAAGCTCAAGGAACGTTACCTAAAAAGGGATAACATTGACCCCATCATTGTCAGTTAGATGGATGATACATCTGAGTGGTTGGTCGATGCCAAAGATGATCCCATATTCGAAGGAGAAGATTTGACTTGGACCCAAGTACGGCGAGCAGCTGGAATTCAATTAAGCCCTACTGGGGCAACAAGATCTCAATCTCGTCGAAAGGAAAACAAAAGAGTGAGGGAGGAGGAGGCAGATTCACAGGAGACTGAGGAAGAGGAGGGAGACGACTATGATGCATAATCATCATCAGATGGTGGCTTGGTGGTGGTCGTGGTGGTCCTAGTGCACATCAGGACATTGTTGGCAGTGATGATGAAACTCAATTACCAAACCGAGTTTGTCGTCATCCCACAATTACATGATCACATCTGATGTAACATTAGGACTTAGGACTTGGGAGTATGGAGTTGGGACTTTTCATGTAAGTGTTCTTTGTTTCACTTGGCTATGATGAACTAAAATTGTGGAATGATGATTTTGGGTAATGTGTAATTGTGTATTACTATTAGGCATCTTTTCTTTTTCTTTTTCATTGGACTTTTAGACTTCTACCAATTCAATAGCAATTTTATATTTGATAATTGATATTTGCTATATCAATATATGTATGAAATATGGTGTATCAGCAACTTAGATAATTTGTTTTATTGAAATTTCTAAAAAACTACAGTTTCTGAGATAATTTAGAGGCAACCAAATCCCTCTTAATAGCTCCCGTGGGGACTAGACCCCTAAGTTTCCCAAAAGGACACCTTGTGAACTAGGCGCCTGCCTTGCCACCTAGGCTACCAGCACCCTTGGCCGACTAGGTGCCCGCATCTGCTGTTTTGAACATTGTCCTCCTAAGTAATTCATCATCATCATCATCAAAGTCTTTTCCTAACTAATTGGGTTCGACTACACAAAATCCTAGGTAATTCATTTTATTAATTAATTTTTTGTTAACCAATTATAATGAATCATGTTTTTCCTTGAGTATCTCTGATTCTCTAATCTGTATTATTCAATTACCATTGTCAACTGCTTGTTAGGAACAATTTAATGGAGAAGTTCCCAACCTTCAAAATTTCGTTGTTCATATTCTCAGCCAGACTTAGCAATGCAAGTGGTAGTAAGAAGAATAAGTGAAATAAGTTGGAGCAGAAAAGGCTAAATGACTTGATCTTTGTACAGTACAACTTGAGCTTAAAGAAGAAGTAATAGACTCTTGTTTACGTTTTTCATTATGTATCCATTAATTGTAAAGTTCTAGTGTTCTTGCTCCTATTTATATTTAGATACTTTTAATTTATATTTTTTATATATTTTGGAATGTTATCTCATAGGACCATGGCTAAACCAATCCTCTTATACCCAAGTGACTAATTGTGGATGAATTGATCTTTGAGAAAGAAAAGCCTAAAGATATTGAAGACCAACAACAGAATTGGAGGGAGATGGAACTACCACAATGAGGTAAATTGTAAATTTAATGTTTTAAGGTTTTATGTACTTTAAAGAGGTAAGTTTGCATCGTACTAAATAATATGTAAACTTTCACAAATATGGTGCAAATGACAATGATTTAGATGTCAATACAGAGGAATCCAATGATGAAGAAGATGGAAATGAAGTTGATGAAGAAGATGACTAATTATATTTGATTCTGATGAAGAAGACTATTAATTATATTGATTCCAATGTATTACCTGGTTTTTGTAATATTTGCAATTGTAACAAACTTTTAAGCCTATAGATTGCAAATTGTGGTGGTGTGGACTTGTGGTGCTGTACTTTTTCTCGTTCGTACTTATGTTATGATTGTAGTTCATGACTAATAATGTTATTGTTATATTCTAATCTTTTTGTTTTGTGTCATCAAATAGCTATTTGACTAATTTATATTCTTAATGAGTATTTACTAATGGGATTGTATACTATGAGATCATTTATCTTTGTTATGAGGAGGTCACAATTGTTTTTTCTTTAGAATGTTAACTTTGTATTAATAAGAAGGAATTTACATGAAGAAAAGGCTATCTATGCCATCCCACATATTGGGAGCTCAAAATACAAAAGGAATCAGAAGGTGGAGAGTGACTAAATCCAAAAACAGGCGAAAGTAGTGCATGTTCAAGGTAAGAAAACGTAAGAAAAAGAGTACAATGCTAGTGGAAGAAAGAAACAAAATGTAAAATGAGGATGCTACTGAGGAAGTTCTCAAAATTTTCTGGTGGAGTTTGCTCTCGACTGTGTTTTAGTTGCTGAACAGCAGCTAAGATGGGCGAGAGGTTTGTGAGGCGAACTGCAGATGCTTGAAATCAGTAACCCGAGAGGCTAAGTTTCTAAGTCCTTACTCGCCAGCGGTCTGCTGTCTTCAGCGGTGTAGAAAGGCCAAAGGTCTTGAAGTAATCGACGTTGGGGAAGAAGGTGAAGTCGGTATCTGAGAGAGTTGTTCAAAGTCTGGGGGCATGGAGGCTGTGAAAGAAGGAAGACTTGAAGAAGAGGAGAGGAGCAGAGACTGTAAGTTAAGGAGGCAATAGAGAAGCTACGAGAAGCATAGAAAATATGCTTTCTAGTTTTCGTAGTAGGCAATCTGGAGGACAGAGGAGGTGAGTGAAGGAGGTTGCAAGGAGGAGAGGGATAAGGGAGAAAGTAGAGGATTGTCTCAGGGGATACTAAGTAGAGAAGAAGACGCAGAAAAACTGATCTGATGGGAGAGAGAAGAAGAAAGGAGGGGGGAGAGGTTGATGAGAGAAGAGGGGCGAAGACAGAGAAGAAGAGGCAGAAGAAAAGATCAAAAGGGGAGAGATAAGACAAAAAAGGGGAAAGGTCACAATTGTTACTAGCCCATTGGATGTCAAATTGGATGGCTTAGGACGTGTGACAAAGTTCAAGAAAATTTATTTTGAAGTTTAAGTCTAGTCCATAATACACTCACAACCACACGATTTAAAATCCGACGGATGAGAATGATGGTGACCTCCTTGTATTAAAAATAATGGTCTCTCTATATACCTTTCCTTTACTTATTACCTGATGGATCATTTCTTGTTTCTAATGGTATTGCGATGTGGTTTGGTTCATCGTTAAATTCTTGTCTAAGGTGAGGTCTACTAGGGCTGTAGACTGCAAATAATTTCCAATGGAAGTTACCTAACTTTCTCAACAGGGTTAGGGTGATGGAGCAAGTTTTAGTGAGGTTGGACGTGTGGCTATGGATGCAAACAGAGTCATGATCATGATTGAAGACCATTTCATCTTCATTTCACGAGACAAGACATTGATTATAAATCGGTATTGCAAGGGGAACCTAAAAACAGGAACGTATGACCAATAACAGGTAAATATTACCTACAACCCATTAAAACAACAAAGGCAATACCAGGTACATCTGATAAAATGCAGCTAGAAATACTAAATGCACAATTGCCATTTCCAACTCTAGGATAAGGGGAAAAACTACATTCAAAGAGCTTGCCCAACTTGTTCAAAAAACTACATTCAACTAAGAATTACTCTAATAAAAAAAAAAACAGAAGCAGAAGTACACCATTCCTCCATGGCCCATGCACATCAACATCTCCTTAATGTTCTGACCATTAATAATCAACTACTATAAACCAATAGCATTTAACACTATGCCAGCATCAGAGGGGGTTCGATTTTGTGGCGAAAAAGACTGATTCAACATGCCTGCATTAAGATTTAAAACTTGTCGTCCACTTCCAGGAAATTTTCGGAACAGAGAACTTACAATAATACAACGCCGCATTCTCCAACGATTGACGAACAAGAATTTGAAGGCTAAACCATATCTTATGAAAACCAGAACACCATTGCAATAAATTACTAGGCAACTTTAGACTCTCAAATCATATGAAGAGAAACTATGCCTGACCATATTTTTAGGTTTTTTTTATGTGATTTTAACTATACCTGAAAGCATTGTAACTTGGTTGATGTGGAAATGGCAAGGTCAGATAAAACTTCATTAGGTAATGGCTTTGGTCGTGTCATTCCTGCAACAGCCACAGCGTCATTTGCTTCCACCTGTTAAAAAAAAAAAGGGAGACGCAAAATGTAAGGGGAACCTTCAAATAATAAAAAGATCGAGGAGCAAACACTAGTGACAACGTTATAGAATTTTAGCGAAAATAACTAAGTAGAGTACTAGTCTACATCATCTTAAACAATTGAACTCTACATCCCAACGATATCAGGAAGATCCAAAAACTCAAATGAAAATATTTCAAAAGAAAACTCATATGAATTTTTCAAAAAAAATGGAAAAGAATAAGATCATTGGCATGTATCTTTGGAGAAGGTAAAAGGCATTTGAAAAGAAAACGTAATTATTCAATCCAATAATTTAAAACTAAGTGAAAGGCATTTATAAATAAATTAATTGAAATGTATTTAAAAAGAAACAAAACTTCTCAATTTGATTTAAAAAGAGGAAAAAACAAATTTTGGTGTCCTTACCATCTTAAAAGCTCATTGGCAAGTATCTGAAGTAAACTGATATTTTATATTTGAAATTTTCATAACAAATATAACAGCAAAATGTTTAAGCTAATATATTTTAATCTAATTTCAAGTTAATATGTTTTAAGCTAATTTCATGCAAAAAAAGGATAAAAATATGTTGTAAGCTAATTTTCAACCATTTTGGTTCCAATTAGAGCAAGTATTTGGAAAATGAATAATCCAGCCAATTATAAATTAAAAAAATATTAAAAAGGGATAATTGAAGGGGTAGCTACTCTCTAAGAGAGAGCATGACTAACATTATGGACGAGATCAATGATAACAGAGAGTTCATGGTGAGCCTGCCGCAAATTCTCCACAAGGCTCTGCCATGGCCATTGTTGTGATGCCTGGTTCTCCCTTGAAACTTTCTGCTTCTTTGCATCCTTCTCCACGACAGGAGTGAAATCGATTCGTCTCAGCAATGAGAGATACTTCTCATCTTGGTTGACGTCACTCCTGGAAATGTAGGATGAAAATGAACAGAGAGAGAAAGAGAGAACATAGTTGCAGAAATTCCACATAAAAAGGAACTGAGAGAGATCATAGTGGCACATAGAAATGAACGGAGAGAGAGAGAGAGAGGAAGAGAGACCAATCAGAGAGAGTGAGAGCGAGATCACAATAGCACAATTTCATCGCATAAATATAAACTGAGAGAGAGAGATCATAGTTGCACAATTTCCAAATAAAAATGAACTGAGGAAGAGAGAGAGGTAAAAAAACACACGCAACCTCGATTGAAAACTGAGAAACACAATAATGAGATCAAACAGGGTGGAGAGAGCGAGAAACCACAAAATGATACTATAAAGGAAAAAAAAGAAGAGGAAAATTCAGAAGAAACTAGCAAGAAAAATGGAGACAACATAAAAACTTACGGCGGAAAGTGCTCAGTTCCATTCTCATCAACAGCATCTACACGCCTAATGGGAAGCTTGTCGAGGGATAGCTTTATGTTTCCACCATCCATTCTCACTCTCCCTTCCCCCTCTTTCTCTCTCTAGAAACCTCTAATCAATTGACTGCAAATGTGACCTAAGAAGGGGGAGAAACAATAACATCAAGGGAATGATTACCAGACAGTTAGACCAAGCGGAAAACCCTAATTTGTAAAAAGACATCAATAGAGGGTTAACTTTAGTGGAAACGCCTAATTTGCAACAGCCATCAATACTGAGCTTCCTCTGGTTTGCTTCTGAGTGTCTTCGTTTATTTCTTCTCTTTTTGAGAGGAGAGACGCTCCGGTTTCTGCTTATGTTCATACCGGAAGGATGCAAAACGGAAGTCCACAGTATGCTCCCTCGGGGCACCAATTTCTTTGTTTCTTTTTATTTCTGGGGAATTTATCCTACGGACTAGGCTTTTTCTTTTTATTTCTGGGGAATTTATCCTATACTTCCCTTGCGCTATAGAAGTAATATATTCGTCATGAAGCCGTGCAATTTAGATCAAGTGAGCTTTTAAAAAAAATTGATTTTTAATAAAATAAAATAATCAAAATATCTTTAAAATAATATTTTAGTTATTTTATTTTATTAAAAAAAATTTAATATATTTTTTGCATGGAGGGACAAATTGGAGTTTAAATCTATTTAGACAAGTTGCATATCTTCGATCAATTAAAGCTTGTTTGGGTACCTGGAGAAACTTGTCATGTGGATAGGCATGAAAAGAAAGATGGATATGCATGTCTACTATTTGGATTGCTTAGAAGATGTGAATCCATGGATATTTAATTGCAGCTTGTGTACCATTACTTTATATTTAATTTTATATTAGTTAACTTTGCACATTGATTCCAAACTTCAATATTATTTCTTAACTATGATAAAATCCTTATTTGTTTTTATTCCTTTCCATTTTATCCTTACATATAGATATCTTACATATCAAAGATTCAATTAACGTTAACGGTTTGGAAAATCATCATGTTATATATTTTGAAACTTAGAACTAATATCTCTAATTCTTGTAGGGCAAACAATGTAGCTTGTGAAAAAGAAAGAAGAAATAAATTTATTCCAATATCTACCTGTATTTTTTGAATTAATTATAAAATGTCCATCACAAAACACATGATCGATTTTTTAAGGGATACACATTTTGATAATTTCCCCCAAACAGAGATTGTGGTTCTCCCAAGGGATAATAAGCATTCTTTAATAAGATGATGAAAATGTGTTAATAGATTCTCAATCAAGAGTTCCAACTATAGTTGTTGGAAATGTCTGTAATTCCGAATCATTTTAGGAATCGAAATCATGGAATCGTGTGTATCATAAGTTTCGGAATCTAGGAATCGTTGTCCATACGATTCGGATTTGAGAAAAATGATTCTCACTATTTTGGAATCGTGATCAAATAAATTAAGAATCGTGTTTCCTATTTGTAAGAATCGATGTCCCTTCATGTTGGAATCGAGTCTCATATCTATATGGAATCACACATGACCCCACATGGTTCAGTTGTTGCTAGAATCATGATTCGATGAGATTGGAATCGTGATTCCTAAAAATATAGAATCGTGATTCCTAAAATTCTAGAATCGTTGTCCCCACCAACTTGGAATCAACATTCTCACCATTCAGGAATTGTGATCCTCTCCATACTGAATCGTTGTCCCCATCAACTTGGAATCAACATTCTCACCATTCAAGAATCGTGATTCTTCCCATATTGGAATCGAGATTCTTCCCGTACTAGAATTGTGAACTAATTCCCTCCGGTATATGAGAGAAGTATTCAAAAAATATATAAATTTACCTATTATTACATGATCGAATTTTTGTATGTATATACTCTGTCCAACTACCAATGTCAACTTTTATGATATCTTTGCAGACAATTCCCTACAATGGACTCGGTTGACCGATAACCCTATGCCTACAAGGTCTAGAGCTAGTGTATGGCATACAAGGAGTGAGAACAAGGGTGAGCTCCCTCTCCTTTTCTTGAATTAAAAAATAAATACATGATATAGAAATTCTTCTTTGTTAAATGTAGTTTTGAGTGTTTTGATTTTTGAAAATTGAGTTATTCATTTTTTAGTCAATATTTGATGTTTAATTTACCTTAAACACCACACAGGGCAATTCACTCATATCCTTATTGTCTTCTTATTATACTTAAAGAAAAGTATTTTTATCATTTTATTCTACTTGAAGAAATGAAGTGGTGGCATATCTCTCTCATCATATTTTAAACATTATTACATTGGTAGTTTAGTACCCACATCATTTACCAAATATTATTAAATTTGAAGTAATATTTTTTTTTAGTATTATTTATTCTTGGTAAGAGTTCTTAAAAAGTAACATGGAATGAAGGATAGAAATTAGTAAATAACAAAATGAAAATTGTAACATATTACCCATATTTAAAATTTTGATTTTATTGTCGTGTGCAACAACTTTAAATTCTCTCACGCTCTCATACATGTCGCACTCACTCATGATTGAGCAACACATACTTACATGTTATATTATTTAGTTGAAGACTTGAAGTTCATATTCTCACATTATATTTATATTATATTATTTAGTTGAAGACTTGAAGTTCCTATTCTCACATTACTTTCATGTTATATTATTTAGTTGAAGACTTGAAGTTCAGATTCTTACATTACTTTCATGTTATATTATTTAGTTGAAGACTTGAAGTTCCTATTCTCACATTACTTTCACGTTATATTATTTAGTTCAAGACTTGAAGTTCCTATTCTCACATTACTTTCATGATATATTATTTAGTTGAAGACTTGAAGTTCCTATTCTCATATTACTTTCACGTTATATTATTTAGTTCAAGACTTGAAGTAAAGATTGAATGCATTTAACATGGGAAACAAAATGAAACTTTTACAAATAAAAAAACGATTGAAGTTTAGTTCAAACAAATTTAATGAGGGAGACGAAATGTGACCTTTTACAAATAAAAAAAACTATTAGTATTGAAGTAAAATTTGAGCAAATTTAAATTTGAGACAAAATATTGTTTTTTATTTCAAAAAATACTCTTATAATTCATCAATGTTCTCTACTATATACCCATGTTCCTATCGAATAATGATGTGCATGTTCCAATGTCAGATGAGGGGTAAGAGAGATTTTATGCTAGACGAGAAGGATGAGGGAAAAGAGAGAACTTGTGAATTCATCCAACAAATATTCATATACATTATATTATCCAAAAAGCTAAAAAAAATGAGGAAAAGGATGAGGGGAAAGAGAATCTATGAATTCATCAAAAGTTATACATTATATCATCCAAGAGGAGGGGGAGGGAGAGAGAGAGAGATCTTAATAGCTACATTTTTCTCTTCTTGTTCCTTCAGGCGGCTTTGAGCTTTTCTGACATCACTTAGGACAATACAACCCCTCCTTGTGCTGGGGTAGGTAAAGGCTGACTGAGTTGATGAGTAGAGGTGGGAATACATGTCAAGTCATTAATCTATGTCGAAGTAGATGGGCCAATGGTAGGACCTTGAGGTGGTACTATGGCAGTTAAATGTGTGTCGTCATCGACATCAATGCGTGCACTCATCTATTCTAAATGCCTCTATGTCATCCTCTAGGTGATCGCCTTCTGGATGTGCATCCCAATTCTTGTATCGTTTTTCATAGTCTGCCTGTAATCTACCCAATAACCTGTCATTGTAATGTACATACACCAATGACTCCGATCTGGCAGCATTAAGTCGATTTTGTTTGATGCTATGAAGATAGCTGCATGTGCTCCAGCATCTCTCGGCACATGAAGAATCAACACTCTGTGATAATACCTTCATTGCAATTGAATGCAACTCATAAGCCCTATCACCCACCATACAAGTCTTACCATGCTACAACAGACTCAGTGGCCCGATAACTGATGGGTGCTGCAAGGGAAAACAACCCTCTATTTCTTATAAAATCACTGATTTGTTGCCGCACTCTACCCCATTCGACGTCGTCTACAATTAATACGTTAAGAGCAGCATGGTAACAAGTAGATACTTCTGGATCTTGATGGGACTTCACCCTTATATCCCCCTCGCACCCCCCCCCCCCAGCCTCCCGGGTGTACGCAGAGCCAACCATTCACAAGAGTAATACTTCGAACTAAGGAGGAATGTCAAACAATGGAAAGGACGAATAGACTAGTCCCAACGATTCATAGCTAACGTCTTCACTCTTTGAAACAATATGGGACCATCATATAGAGGTATTATGATTTCTCCTAACAATGTATCCATACGCTCATATGAATCTCCCAGGACAACTTTGTCGATGTTTGCAAACATCAGCATCTTCCATATTGGTCTAGTGAACCGTAATATCATTTTATTTATTTTCTAAAAATCCTCGCTCATAAAAACATCCTGGACCTCGTCGTGTTTAGTGTTGCCTGCCCCACGTCTAAGACTCTCCCACTCATCCCCCAACACCAAGGATGCCAATGCGACATGCACTTCCTTCAAATGCATCAACATAATGTAATGATATCCAAACCTAGTTTTTTTTTTTACTTTTAAAAGCTCGAGGTTTGAATAAGTCCTAAAAATGTGGAGACATCTTGAATGATTTTTTATGTGCTTCACCACCCTTTTGGCTTGTTTGTAATGGCTCCTAACTAAAGCAAAATTATGATTTTTCTTTTTCTTGTCAACAATATCCTTTCATTAGAAGACTCAAAATGTGTACTAAACAACCCGACTAAAAAATGTGAGGATGTCGGCATTGAATTAAAGCCCCAATAGCATTGCAATTGGCGGCATTGTTAATGTCAACCTGAATTATATTATATGGTCCAAAAGTGTCTATAACCTTTAAGAGAATATTTGCAATGTATTGGCTCGTATGCTCAACAACAGAGTAGTCAAGACTATTCATGAGCATAGCCTTTTGATTTGACACGGCCATGATGTTGATCAAAGAACGATTCCTTACATTGCTCCAACCGCTTGAAACAACAGACACATCATAAGAAGCCCACTCATTCCTTATTGGACCTAGTACCTGATCTATTCTATTTCTCTCATTATCAAGTAGAGTTGTCCTAAGGTTTTCGTATTTGGGAGTCATATAGCCCTTCGGTGCATTGTTTATGGCGTATACCATTTCATGGAATCTAGGACCCCATGCAACATTAAAAGCGATCCTGTGGAAATACAAGAATCTTCCAACTGCAACATCCACATCATCCCTGGCTTGCAGATTAAACAATTGTGAAATTTTGGCATGAGTGTGTCCTTTCCCTTTTTTATCGGCACTAGTTGATTGTAATAGTGAAGGGAACAAGGATTTGTCTATTAAAGTCATAGTATCTATTTGTGTCCTACTCCTGTACAACCTTTGACCTTCATCTTTTTCATGTTTCAAAGCCAACTGCATTTCTTTTGATAGCTTAGAGCATGTTGAGATTGCTTTAGACCTGTTCCCAAATTGTTGACTCAAAAGGTGAGCACGCACACGAGCATAAGATCCAGCAAAGGAGCCTCCCTACAATTAAAATTGTGTAACCAATTCTTGGTACCCCCAAACCCTTTTGTATAACTACCAACCACAGTGACATATTTCCACAACAAGTTTTGGTGGGCTCCTCAACCTCATCTTCAAAATTCAAGGTCTCAACTGCATTGTCTGAGCCGAAAAATCAGCATAACATTCCTCTCCCGCCATGCTAATGCAACCTGTGCATTTGACAATGATAACATCTGGTTAAGGTCTTCCTTCTATCGAACGCATGAAACTTGGACCGCCCCTGCCCTAATTCCGACCCAAGGAATTTAGCTTGGATCCACCCTACCGAATTCTGAACCAAGGCATGCAACTTGGATCCCCCCACCCCAGTTTTGACCCAAGGCATATAACTTGGATCTACCCACCCGAGTTCAAACCCAAGGCCCATAACCTAGATTCGCACACCCTAATTCTGACCCCAGGCATGTAATTGCCCACCCAAATTCCGACTCAAGGCATGTAGGTTGGATCCTCCCACCCTAATTCCAATCCAAGAAATGGATCATGGAACCGCCCAACCTAATTCTGACCCAAGGCTGGTATCTTGGATCCGCCCATCCAAAATCTGAGGCATGTAACTTGGATCCGGCCAACAAAATTCTAATCCAAGGTACTTAACTTGAATCGCCACCCGAAGACAAACCTAACCGTCTTATATATGACATAAAATTAAAGGGCCCTTTTTGACGTCCTACACTGGTACATTTTCACAATAGAGTTATATAACCATTTGAAGAAAAAAACATATATAGATTGGTTCTATGTCATGGACATTAAGGACTTTTCATAGCATTTAGACCTTTCCATCAACACTTGTTTCGAAAAGAAGGATCGGAGGTTGAGAAAAGCATGTGCATACATAAAAAAATCTCATTTTTGATTGCTGACGTGGTTAACTAGTACTTCTATCAACTCTTGTTTTAAAAAAAAGGAACGGATGTTGAGAAAAGCATGTGCATATATAAAAAAACTCATTTTTGATAGGTTAACCTGTACTTCTATCAACATTTTTAGAAAAGAAGGATAAGATGTTGAGAAAAGCATGTGCATACATAATAAATAAATAAATAAATCCTTTTGATTAGTGATGTGGTTAAGGGTTTTGTAAAGCATTTAATCCTTAACTTGTATTGCTTCTATGAAGATTTGTTTTGAAAAGAAGGATTAGATGTTGATAAAAGACAGTGCATAGAGATTTTATGGTCGAGCAATGATTCCCCATTCACTATTTGTACTTCACATTTAAAAATATCATACGTTCTCAATTCTCTATTCGAACTCTCTCTAAAAACTTTTGAACTTACCCATTTAGAAACCATGGATTCGTACTTTCTCTAAAAACCTTTGAACTTTGGATGTAATCTATCAAAAAGCCTGCAACTCCTTCCCATTTGAAAACCACATGTTCTCTATTCGTACTCTCTCTTCTTCTCTTTCTCTCTCTCTCTCTCTCTCTCTCTCTCTAAAAACATTTAAACTTTTGATGGTTTCTCCATTCGAACTCTATCTAAAATCCTTTAACTACTTTCCATTTAAAAATATTTGTCAACACATGTACTCTATCCGTAAAAGGCAGTGCATAAAGACCTTATGGGAGAGAAATGAAATTCCAATTCACTATTCGTACTTCCCATTTAAATCTTTTCGAACTCTCTAAAAACCTTTGATCTTTTCTTTGATTCCCTGTTCATACATTATTTAACAGTCTTTGACCCCTTCCTATTTAGAAAGCACATGTTCTCTATTCATACACTCCTCTCTCTCCTTCTAAAAACCTTTAAACTTTTGATGGTCTCCATTTGTACTCTATCAAAAGGCCTTTAACCACTTTTCATTTAAAAACCTTTATCAACACATGCACTCTATTCGTACTATTTTTCTCTCTAAAAACCTTAAAACTTTCGATAGTTTCACTATTCGTTCTCTACCTAAAAGCTTTTAACTACTGTCCATTTGAAAAGTCCTCTATTCGTAATCACATAAGACCTTTGAACTTTTTCCCATTTAAAAACCAAACCATTATACCCACATAATACTCTATTTTCTTATAAGCTTCACTTAATCATTCCCCATAGCCACGCATCATAGGATATATAAAACGAGCAGAAAATACATTCATTATAGGTAGAAAGAGTAGAAAGGACATTCATTATATACAGAGAGTAGAAGCATATAAAAAGTTGAAATATCAATCATTATATATAGAAAGAGGATAATATATATATATATATATATATATATATATATATATATATATATACTACTTACTTACTTACTTACCGTACGTAGTAGGTAAGCGACGTAGGCGGATAGTGGTACGGACGACGCCGACTACAGAACGAAAA